CTTCAGGTATGGCTGTATCCAGGTTCTCAAATGCCATCACCAGGATAGGGTGTCTATATCTCTCCAGTGTCACTTCCTTAGACTATTGGCCCATTTGCAAGGTACTCTCTGCTTGCAGTGTCAGCACCTCCAGAAGCCCCAGTGTTTCTCCCAGCTTCCTATCCCAGTGGAAAAGGAGCCTGGCTTCGCATTTGTACCAGAATAAGCCCTGGAATGAACTGATGTGAACGGCAGTTCTCATTGGTCCTCCCTGAAGCAATGGCCGTGGCTGTGGGAAGGACTGGACTGAGAAGTGGGTCAGGGCCATGTCCACCCACTCCTGTGGATGCAGAGTTGGGGGGTGGCTTTTCCAAAGAAGATCAGGACACAGGGGTAGCCGACACTGAGCGGGCCACTTGGGCATCTCTAGCCCTCTCAGTCTCTGTTGCTCCTGTGTCTGTGTCGCTCCCCTCTCTTCTGGAGGACTCAGTGCCCATCTGCTGTAGCTCTTGGGCTGAAACATGCCTGGACTTGTTGAAAAGCTAAAGAACATATTTGGGCCTTAGAGACTCATGGACTCAGCGCCACTTGCAGCTCTGTGTCATAGCCACATCACTTAGTCCACCTCCAAGGGTGGCTGTGGGGAGGGGATGGGCTGACCCGTGCCTGGGACAACACCTGGTGGCACTCACTGGATGTCACCTGCCAATGGCACTATCTGAGCTCAGTGTCCCCAAGTAGATCAAAGTCGTGTACATTTCAGGGGTCAGAGTGTTCAGCACCTCCAAAGCAAACAACAACAAGAACACCACCACCACCCTTCCACCTAGGCTCTGCCCCAGCTTCCAGCATTAGGAATGAAGAAAGGTTATCCAGGTGAGTTCCCGTCCCTTTGAAGCCCTCCCATGTCACCAGGTTAGTGGCCTCCTGAAGTTCAGTGAAGCCATATCTGGTGGGGTCCTCAGCAGAGTATTGGCAGAGAAGGAACTAACGGGCCAGGTGTGACACAGGGTGTTCTACCTGCGCCGTCTCCTTTGCCTGCCAGCCCACGTGGTCAGTGTCATGCCCGTTTGTGGATGAGCAAGTTAAGTCTGGAGGTTTAAGTAACTCACAGTCACACAGCGAGTGCGGCAGCGGGACTGGGAGCAACGCTCAGTGGTTTCTTCTTCAGAGCAGTGAGCAATAGCAGAGAAGCCAAGGCCTTTGTCCACCTCTCTGATTGGTGCCCCTATTTTTATTAAGGAGCCCATTTGAAAGAATATATGCTAAGGTACCCATTTCTTTTATTTTGTAAAACTGGGAGCAGGAATCCTCTCTAGATGCCTGAAGGAGAGCTGGTGCTGGGGTTAGACCTGGAACCTGCCAAAGAGAGTGGTCCTAACTGTGTTACTGTCAGACACGAGCTGCCCTAAAATGAAAGGAGGCAGAGGGCCTGCTTCCCCCACCCCACATCGGAGTCTGTCCGATTGGTCTCTGGACATGCACAGTGGGAGGAGCTGGGAGTCCTTATCCTCAGCTGCCTGTGTGCAGACTCGAGGTTGCTCCCATCTCCAATGGTTCTGTATGGGCAAGATCTGCAGAAATATTCTCAAATGCCTGAGCTGCCTGGGGCTCTTCATCTTACCCATAGCCCCGGTGCCCTGGAGGGGAAGTTTATGGCCTCAGAGCAGGAGGGACCCAGCTGGAGCCCAGGAAGACAGTGTTGGTTCTCATGCTGGGATCCAGGATCTTAGAGAAAGAGAGGTCTACACTTAGGGTCTCACCCTAGGCGAGGATGGTAGGTGACGGGGAAGCCTAAGATCCCACCATTTCCCCCTGCCCTCCACCTGTGACTAGGTAAGGTTCCCTCTGTTGGGGGGAAGGTGTGTGATCCTGAGAAAAGGGTCCCAGGAGGGCTGGTGGGATGGGTGGTAGGTGTGTTACAGACATGTGAACAGTCAGGGCTATTTTTAAAGCACACATCAACACTCAACAGGTGTAAGGGTACTGGGTGGAAAGGAGCCCAAGCAGAAGGGCTGGATGCTCCCCCAAGGGATTTTTATTCTGCAGCTAGGCCGTGGCTGGGCCAGGTGCCCCATGGCTGCTCCAGGAGATGCATGCTTTGGCTGCAGCAGACTTCAGTCACAGATCTGTCACAGCTAACTCCTCCCCACAGCCCTCCTCAGCCTGGCCTGTGAAAGGCTCCTCCCTTCCACATGAGCACTTTGTATAAGCAACCCCTGTGTGGGTGTCTGGCCAGTCCGTGCCCTGTTCCCTGAGTGCTGTGGGGCTGCATAGTAAGCTCTAACAGTCTCCTCTCATGGCATACTCCAGGCTATTCAGGATTTCTGTCCCCATACCATGTGTGGAGCTGGTAACACCAAGGGCTGCTGGTGCTGAGAATGGTGAGTGGCAGGGTAACACTGAAGAGAGCTGGCAGCCAGAGAGTGACAAAGAGAAATAAATTGCTGGGACCTGCCATTTCTGGTGGCTGTAAGAGCTCCTGAGGACTGCTCTTGCTGCTGCCTCTAGCAGCAAGGAGGGCCCCTAATACTAAGAGTTGATAGCTACTGGCATTCGAAACCTAGGGTTGATGTTAACACTAAAATTGCTACCCTTTGCCAATTCATGATTTCTCTATGAGCTGATCAAGAACCCTCAGCTGATTGGTACTGTCTTGCAAGCATGTACAGAGACCCTTCCTGAAGAGGGCAGACAATGCTGATGGTTGTCAGTCAGCAGGGTCAAGAATCAGCCCTCATCTGATTTTTACCTTACTTGTGGCTGAGAATCCACATCAGCTACTGACAAGGAGTCCCCCAGCTCAGCCTTCAGCTTCCAACTTGCTCCTTGGAGCAGCCAGTGTGGGGCCTGGCAGTGGGGAGTGGAAGGGGTAGACGCTCTTCTAAGAGACCAGGAAGCCACTAGAGTGTCCCCAGTCTACCCCATCCCTGTGCTTTAGTCACTAGCTTAGATTTGCTTCCTGGAGAACCTCAGTGAGATAACTGTCCCCTAGAAAGAGACAAATCAGGCTGTCAGGGGTCAGTTCCTGGCTTCACAGCTGATCCAGGGAAAGTCCGACTATAAGGACAGGAGCCTGTACTTTCCCTCCCAGCAGAACCTGGTGATGGCTGTCCTCTGATTACAGAAATGACGGGCTCATTGCCAGAGATTTCATGCAGCAGAGGAACTGTATAAAGACAAAAATAAGAATCATTATCCATTCCACCCTCCACAAGGGGCTGTGTTTTAAGTAACCAAGCTCCTTGATTGCAGCCTGGGGGAAGTCTGAGTTCCTGTGACTGGGCTTGTCGCAGTATTTTGCCTAATGCTGAATCTTGTCAGCTGACTCTTACTGAATGCTGAGTGTCAATGACAACGAGAAGCCCCTGATGCCAGCCTCCAAGTCAAAGCAGGTAGGCAGAGTGGGGACCAGTCACACTGACGAGGTTACTGTCACGCCTGCATTAGTTGGTGGCCCTGTCTGCACAGTGGGTTATCACTGTTTCAATCTTAGCTGGACACAGCAGAGAGTAGCTTTGTTTCTCTCCTGCCACTGTCTCCCTGCAGCTCCTGCAGCTGGGCTGGGATAGGTAAGGAGGTGACATCAGTTGTGTACATGCAGGAAGGAATGGGTCCTGTTGGTAAACTTACCCATTAGGGATTTTTTGCTTTGATGTTGATTTTGAATCAACCCTGCATTGACATATTACTCATCTTTATTTCAGAATATTTTGGTGCCTGTTGAATTTTGTGCCTCACCCTAATCCAGTGAGTAATCCCGCCCCACCTCACCCTAGTCCTTGCCCCAGTGTTAGGTCTCTGGTCTCTGCTTTCTGATGACATTTGGAGAGATTCCCTAGGTTTTTATTCACATTTACGTACAAGGACAAGCTCATCAAACATTGCCTCTCTCTGGCAAGTAGGAGGCAGCCCTGGCAGCCTCCCAAGTATAGGATGCTGTGAACACGGCTGTGACTACTGCATGTTATGACCAGGCAGGTCCAAATCTAAATTTTACCTCTCGATGGGACCTCTGCTCCTCCCCACTCAGATCTCACTGAGGCTCAGGGTCCCCTCCATGTTCCTGCTCTTCCCTTGGTGGCCCAGGCAGAGTCGGGCGGCACTGGAGAAGGGTTTTTAGTGCCATCAATGATGAGTGTGCAGCAGGTGGATGAGACTGGTCCTGTTCCTCCAACAGAGGGAGTGAGCTTGCACCTCCTCTGTCCTCCCCACAGAGTATCATGTTGCAAAGCCTGCAGACACCATGACAGAGGAAAGTCAGCTCAGGCGAAGTGGTTAAACAGACCTCAGAGGACGATTCCAGCCCAGGGCCACGTGGTTTACAAACCACTGTCCTGTCAGCTAGTATTTGTTTGCAGCAACATGCCAGAGCCCACATGCAGACTCATGTTCATAGAAATTACTGTGTAGAAGGGAAATCAGACTTTCCAAGAGTAAAAAAAAAAAAAGGTCCTTCAATAATTGGGAGTGTGCAAAATTCTGGAAAGGGAAATTTGGTTCTGAGAAGGTTAAGAGATTGATGCCAGGAAGCAGGGGTTTTGGGGCTTAGAGCTTGGAATAGAGGGAAGAGGCTGGGGATGAGTAGGAATTTAGTCAGGTGACTGCAGGTGATAGGAGGGGAAGAGTGTTCCTGGTGACAGAAACGGTATGTGCAAAAGACCAGAGGTGCGGAGGATACTGTGCTTTCTTGGGACTAAGGAAAATCCCATAGGCTGCAGCCATGTGCAGAGGTGGAATCAGGCTGAGCTTGTTCTGTTTGAGAAGCTGTGAGTGACAAGGCCATTGCACAGGAACTTGGTGGCAGAAAGGGGACATCAGGGCCAGGCCCAGGTAGGAAAACAGAAGTCAGGATGGCCTAGGCCAGGGGGAGGATATTAAAGGATCTGGGGGAGGGTGAGATGTGGGGAGAGTGTGTACTTAAGAAACTCAGTAAATTCATTGTTTGAATGTTAGTAAGACACTTGCATGTGCAGAGACAAACTAGACTGCTTCTGCCACTGTGTGATAGAATAATATAAAAAAATGCCCAACACTAATTTTTGCAATACTAATTTTTATTCAAAATAAGATATATATTTCTCATATTTGTGATGTTTATGCATTTTAAGGTTGACAGAGAGCAGAAAAGCTTACTGAGTGACGTGAAGATGTAAGAGATAACAACTTAAAACCAAATCACCAACAACTTTTATATTTTCCAAAACAATTTCACTGCTGTACTTCTTTCTCAAACACAAGGAGTGACAATGAGCACTTTGAACATTTCTTCAATTATTTTATAAACATTAACATCAGTTTTTTATTGAAAACAAAGTATTTAATAATGAAATCTTACAGTTTGCAGAATTTGCTACAGAATGTTGCACTTTTCACTTGGTAGCCATGGCAACTTTAAACAATTTTTTTCCTTCTGATTTTATTTTTTTACAGGATCTACAAATAATTTTATTGAAATCGAACAAATAGCACAACAATCTTCCTATACTGGGGAGCATCATCCCCAAGCCATGTCCCATGCTAGAAGCATAGAACTTGCACAATAAGAAATTAAAAGAAAAAGAAAGTCATTTCTGTGTAGAAATCAGACTCTGCCCTAACATCAGCATGGACTAGACTATTTACAAATCTTCACACTTTAAGTACAGTATTCCCTTTTATGTTTTTGCCCTCCTTTCTGTGCTTTTCAAGGGGCCCTAGTACTTTCCCTTGACTGATCCAGAAGGGGTGAAGATATTGTGGCAGAAGAGTGGTGGTCTCCTCATAGCGCTACAGGCACCAGCCCTAGTATGTTGGTCTTCATCACAGGGTAGTGGACCCTCCCAACTGGATAGTAGGGGGAATGGCTGGTGCAAAGGCAAGGGGGGAGGCGGTTAGAATAGGCTTGGGGCAACTTCCCATAGGCACAGACGCCCATAGCCTGTTCTGACTCTGGCCTGTACCTCTTAACTGAGGAGAGGGCAATAACTAGTTGCACTGGGGAGCAATTAGCCAAGCCCTGGGAAAAGGAGAAGCTACCCATACCAGTCCTCATTCCAGTTAACAGCCAGCAAACTGTCCATGTGAAAGTGGGAACAAATGGCAGGTAGGTGGGAAGCATCAGGTGGGTGCTGTCCTCAGCCTCTGTCCAATCAGGAAGTATAGAGGTAGAAATGGCTGAAATGCTCTGACTAGGGGGTAAAGGAAGTGAGGGAAAGGAAGTTCCCACTTGTGTAGAGCTCCCAAAGTCCAGGGGCTGGAAGAAGGCAGATTTTGCATGGAAAGTGCTGTAGCTTTTAGTGAGGCTGGGCCCTAGGCAAGCTTGGAAGAAAGCAGACCAGCCAGGCAAGGAACCAGGAACCACACATTCCTGACTGGCAGATGCCCTGTGGCTGGGAAAGCTCTGCTGGTAACTCTCCCGTTAGCCTTTGCCAGACACCAAACCTCTCTTGTCCACACACAAACCAATACCCGATTTATACCGAGGGCTGCCCTGCTTACAGCTGAAGGTTCTGGGCCAACAGAGTTCACGAAGGGCTGTGGCCCCAGCCTGGGGTGCTCAATGGAAGCTACACCTTGTGACAGGAAGTTTCTTGCTGGGTCAGAGGGGGTGCTTGTGTCTTCACCCACCAGGCTCACAGCTCATAGAGGATCACAGGGAAATCCACGTGGCTGCGGGGGAGATCCAGCCTCACGATGCCCTAAGGAATCAGAGCCTTATACACCTGCCTCAGCTTGGCCCGCTTCTGGCCGTTCATGGTGACGACTGTCTCCTCATAGAACTCATGAGCCAGATCCCCATCCTCCTCACAGAACGTGGAGCGAGGGGAGTACCTGCTCGGGGTCAAGCCTCAATTGAGCCCACTCTTTCTGCTAGGCCTCCCGAAGCTGACTGCCCGGCTTTCCCCCATCCCTCGCTCCGATGGGGCCCCGAAATGCAGGACTCGTCCTGGCTCAAACACAGGGGTCCAGCGGCGGGAGCTCGCTGTGGTGCGGTGTTCCCGGCCCGCCGCCTGCGGTCCTCCCCAGGCCGAATCCACGCCCTTACCCGCGGCGCGAATACGAAGGGGGGCACCCTTCGGCCTCGAGGCCTCCCTCACCAAGGCTTGCTCAGCGCCCGCAGTCTCGTCTCCGGGACGCTGCCTCCCGTCGCCGAGGCGAAGGGCCAAAGGCCCGAGCTTTGGAGCCGCTGGCGCATGGCGATCCAGCGGCCGCTGCGCTCTCACAGTGCAGAACGCGCCACCATGCCCGGGCCCAGCTCTGTTCTCAGGTGGTGCTGCTGCCGCCATCACCTCTGCCGCCGCCATCACCTCTGCCGCCGCCTTCCTTGTGATTTTAAAGATTTTTTCATTCTAGAAAATTTGGAAACATACCAATCACTAAAAGGAAAAAATGAAAACCATTTATAATGTTATCACCTATGTTACCATTATCGATATCTTGATTTGTTTTTTACCCAACGATTTTTCTCTAACTGTGGGTGCCTTTGTGATGAGAGCATCATACACAGAGTTATAGCCTGTTACGTTTCACTTCACACAAGATCATGAACATTTTTCATGCTATTTAAAACTTGATGTAAGTGTATGAGGTCAACGCCTTCCAGTTCCCTTGTCTGGATACTTCCATTCCTACATCATTGGGCATTTGTGTTGTTTCCAATTTATGTTGCAACGAACACATTGCCACATAATCTTGCTCTGCATTTCTGAGTATCTCCCTGTGATAATATCTATATGTACAAAGATCGCATCAGGGAGTGAGTGCTTTTATAAAACTCTTCTCTGTCTACCACATAGTTTGGGGAGGCAACGGGCCTGGTGGTCCCCACTGGTGGGCGTTCTGTGCCTGTATCATTGTGACCTCAGAGACATAGGTAGTGTGTGTTGAAAGGGTTTGTGCAAATCTGCTTGGGCATGCTCTGCGGTTCTTTTAATTTGCAGGGAATTCCTAGCTGGGTCCCGCTCGTCCTTGGTGCCACCTTCTCAGGAGCAGACAGGAAGCTGCCCGGAGCCCAGGCAGTGACCTGTGTGACAGGCAGCACTGCACTGCTAGATCAGTGGTCAGTGGTCGGTGTGGACAGGGAGCTGCTAGTGTCAGAACCAAAGTGTGTCCCCCTCGTTCTGGGGAGCTCAGCAATTGTTCCTCAGTTCTGGGGTGCCTCTGAGGTGGGGCACCAGGTGGCACATGAGGAATGCATGTGCCCCAGGCACCCAGACTGGCCCTGGCAGCCTCCTGAGTGTGGGATGCTGTGGACACGGCTGTGACCACTGCATGTTATGACCAGGTCACCCCAGCCCCGTGTCCTGTGGGTGCCCCACTTCTGACACCTTGCTGGGCAGTCTCAGGGCCAAGCCTTGCAGCTGCTCCACTCTGCCCGGGGTTGGTTCAGAGCCTATTTCACAGCCCATTCAAAGGGAAGATTAGGAGGCCTTTTCCATTTCCTGTGTGAAATGATTCAATTCCCAAGGGAATTGGTCAACACAGTGCCCTAACACAGCCCAGGTCCTATATTGTTTGCAGTTATGTTTGCAATTACAGCCATCCAAGCCCATCAGCGTCTGGGCTGGGTGCACCAATGACACTCGCATTGCTGCTGGGGAGGAAGGGGGGCCATGGGCATCTCTGCCTCATTTCAGGAAACTGATGTGTGCAGTGACATCCACAGATGATGGGGATCCAATCTCCCCAAGACAGGTCTCCCCATGGAAATGCATCTGATATATGTTTAACCAAGTGTTAAGGTGCCATTATTCATCATAACAGTTGTTAGCCCCTTGACAACACCCAGGTTGACATACAGGTCATCCCCACCTGCCATAGCTGCTTCTCCACAGGGGCAGCCTGACCAGCCCTTGGGCCTGAGCACAACAGGATGCCTGGCTGTCATGGAAAATTTTAGGAGGTGGAACCTAAGACACCAACTTTGGTCAGTCTCCATCCCTGAGGGTTCTCCTCCGGCAACTCTTGATGCTCCCAGGGCCACCCAGTCCTGCATTCCTTGGAGATGCTGTGTCATCCCACATGCTGTGGAGGAGCCTCCTGGGGTGGAAGACTCAGCAGTGTGGCAGACTTACAGCATGTGTCCTGGGTAAGAGGACATACCTTCAGTTATGTTGGGTTTTGAGGTCACAGGGCACAGAATCCACGTTAGACCCTGGAGCACAGAAATGCAGAACGACCAGAAGGTCTGGGGAGCAGGAGGCATTGGAGGGGCAGGAACAGGGTATCCTGGGCCCTGGGCAGCAGATGGCAGCAGGAAGAGCTCATATTGGGCCATCAGTGGGGTCAGGTGAATTCAATCCCTGGAGGAAAACTGGAGGACCCTCATCCTAGGAGACAGGGCTAGGTGGAGGTCCACTGCAAGAGTCTGTTCAGGCACCATCTCCTCCCAGCCCTGTCAGGAATTCAGCTTCCTCCTTCCTTCCTTCAAAGGATAGTACTAATCTCTCTCTCTCTCTCACACACACACACCACACAACACAAAAGCTCAAGGTGTCTAAATCCCTTTTTCATTTGTCACTGATTTGGCCTTGTATCCATCTTTTTGACTGGGTCTCTAAAATGAGCATAAAATCAACATTAAAGAGAGAGAGGAAATGGGAGTTGGGGGTGGGACCGCAGCTTCCATCTGTCAAATGGCCTTTTCCACGTGGGAAATGCCAGCATATGGAGATGGACTAAGTTTGTCACCAAGTTGGTTACAGTCCAGAGGTGAGGGGCTTTGGAAGTAACCTTTATTCAAGTACAGTGAGTGTGTGGTGTGAGTCAGGGCTCCCAGAAGACACACTCAACAGAACATGTGCTGAGGAGTTCAAAAGATGCCACCAAAAACATGCCCTTGAGTGTGTGGAGTATTTCAGAGAGAGGACACCTGGGGACAGCAAGCACAGAGAGGGCTCGGGCCAAGCTTCCCTTATCTGCCTAAAGTTGGATCCTACAAAGGGAACCAACCAATAATCAAGAATCCCCTGCCAGGGCCCTGGTCAGCCAGAGAAAGGTGGACCTTCCATCACAGCAGGTGTACCCAAGGTCACTCTGTGCCCAGATACTTTACCCCCGGCTGGCACCCAATGGCCAGTTAGCCTTCCCCTTCCCCCTCCCCACTGAAGCAGGTATATATGATTCCGGATCACCCTGGGCTGGGACTGGTCACTTCTCTTTCCTGTGATGCCCCTGTGTGGGTAAGGAATTTGTATAACTTTTCTCCCATTAGTCTGTCCATTGTCAGTATACTTCATAGACCCAATTATCAAACCTTCAGAGGGTAAAGTTTTTCAACACCTATGGTTCATATACGGAAAGAAGTTTATCTTCAGCAATTGGCTCCTGTGGCTATGGGGGCTGGCAAGTCCAGCACCCGCAGGGTAGAGCAGCAGGCTGGAGACCCTGGAAGGAGCTGGTGCTGCTGTTTAAGTCTGAGACATCTGCTGAAGAATTCTTTTTGCTTGCAGGAGGTCAGTGTTTTCTTCTATGCAGGCCTTCACCTGATTGGATGTGGCCCCCCACATTATGGAGGGCAATCTGCTTTCCTTAAAGTCCACTGATTTAAATGTTAATCTCATCCCCAAACACCCTTATAGAAACTTCTAAATAATATTTGACCTCATCTCTGGGCACCACGGCCTTGCCAAGTTGACTTAAAATGAACTGTCACTTATGAGTTTGGATTTCAAATCTTTGATTTCAGAATGTCAAAGAGCATTAGTATTTTTTTTTTTTGATACCAGGGATTGAACTCGGGTCCTTGTGCTTATGCAGCAGCAGGTGGCAAAACCACTGAGCTAAATCCCCAGCCCAGTATTTTCTTTTAACTGTTCCCTAGTACAGGGGTCATCTGTTGTTTCTAGCAGCCTATGTCTCCTGAGAGTGGCATATTGGGAGCCCCCACACCTCTGTGTCTGGGCCTTGATGACCCCATATTCCATTTCTGGCCACTGTGATTGGTCCAGCAAAGGGCACGTGACTCAAGGCAGTCAATGGTGAGCAACCTCGGACTTTGGGGCTGGTGTTGTGGGCACCTGTCTTTCTGCTGCTGCCACTGAGCAGGGAGGCAGTCAGCTGGGAGCTGTCCAGCTCAGGGGATGAGCCTCCCTGAGAAGAAATCCCATGTAGAGGACAGCACAGCTGCAAAAGGGGGACAAGGAGGGAGAGAAGAAAATACGGTGAGTACTCTCATGGCAAATACTGGTTCTAACACACACAAGATCACACTAAGGATCCCGAAACCTTCTTGGAAGGAAAGAACCTGGACAGAGCTGTCTAGGCAGCCAGGGTGTGGACTTGGGGACGGGGAAGGATGAGTATTCTCTGCTTTCTCTCTGAGCCTGGACCTGTGCTGGGTGCTCTACATATGTGGCCCCATTCAATCCTTAGGAAACCCCATTGCTGTAGGTACTTTCACCTTCCTTTCATAGCTAGGCCCAGAGAAGCAGAGGGTACCCAGCCTGCCCAGCTTAAATGTCAAGTCAGTGGCAGAGGTGACATCAGGGGCCAGGTCTTTCCAGCTCCCAGGCTGGGGCCTTTCAAACCACATCATGTCTCCCTCATGGGGAGGAGCTGGCGGCAGCATGCAAGGGCTGTGTCATCTGTCAAGGGTTAGGTGGCGCATGAGCAGCACACACAAGATACTCACACAGGTCAGTCCTACTCCACATGCCCTGTTTTCCTGTCACCTGTCAACCATTAGTGGAAAGGACGGAGTAGGAAGCCAAGGGGAGCTGCTTCCCTCCAAGAGTGACCCACAGTCTCCAAAGTCGGAAGTGGGTCCATCATTGTATAAAACTCTGCATCTAGGTGAGTTTCCTACACCCACTGTTTTCTTGGTTCTTAATTGAGATTGCCCAGCGAAGCAAAGAGAAGTCACAGATGCCTTCTAGGCAGGTTTGAAGAGCAGCAAGAGCCCAAAAGTTCTTAATGAGGTCCCTGATCCTGGGCTGAGCAGCATTGGGCTATCTCAGAGGTCACATGACTATCCTGCCTGGACCACTCACTGTGGGCCAGGGTGCTGATTGGCTCAGGCTGAGTCACATGCTGGGGCTGAGTGTAGGATCCACCCACCCAAATTTCCTAGGCTGAGTGGGCAGGCAGCTGCTTCCTGGGAAATTGTGCACACATTCTTGAAGAAATGGGAGGGATTTGGAAGATGTATAGTAGGGGGAAAAGATCATTACACTCAATTTAACAGAGTGCATCAGTGAACACATTAAATAGCAACGGAACATTCTTGTTGACATATGGGATTTTGGGAAATGAAACAAGCCACACTCCTGATTCAGGTCAAGGACTATCTAATCCCTCTGGGGTAATGGGAAATGCTATTTGCAGGCCTCTAAAAACTGGAAAATTTAAATACTACTTTGTAAGAAATCCCCAGGATACATAACATTGCAAAACCACTGATTTCACAAACATTTATTGGGTACTGTGTGGCAGGCCTTGAGCTAGGCACAGACAAGCACGGTCCCCTTGTCATAAGGCTGACATCCTGGTTGGAGATTTATAGATAATAAATAGCCCAGTAAAGATGTGGGTGACCCCGAGCATTTCAGAAAGGGGCAAAGGCACTGATACAAATGAACCGCGGTGGCATGATCAAGGAGATAGGTGGGGGAAGTGCCTGAGATCAGGAGAGCCCTACCCGAGCAGGTGGCATGTGAGCTGAGACTGGTCATGGAAGGAGCTGGCCCTGGGAAGAGGATTCCAGCAGAGCCAAAGGACCAGCAAGAGGCTCCCAGGACCCTAAAGTCCTAGTGCGGCCCTTGAGGGCAAATGACAACGTCCTGATGTTCCTCCTTTCCACTCCTCACCGCCCCTTCCACCGTGGGAGGGAGAGTTGCTACGGCAGCCAGTCTGCCGCCCTCTTCAGTACTGGGCACCCAGCCATCCTGGGTGACAATTGGTATTCTTACTCTTTCCCTTCAGCCAAAGTAAGGATGCAGATACCTGAACTCCACCCCTTTAATCAACAAGTTCTTTGAAGTCCCAGAGCTTTGTCTTTCAAATGTGATTCCATCCATTTGTTCACTTGCTCAGGCTACAAATATTTATGGAGGCCCTGCTGAGTGTCTGGCACCGTGCCCTGCACTAGGGACACAGCTGTGAGCCAAACAGACTGAAAAGAGGGACGCTTGCCCTTGGACAGGGCACCCCCTTCTCTAGATCCGCAAATGCTGACAGGTCAAGCAGTGAAAGGTGCCTGCACATGTCAGGTCCTGGTTGGGGGAAGGGGGACAGTGAGTGTGGGGGTGCAGAGGTGATTTTTAAAGGTAAGGAAGACCTCCCGGAGGCAGCCACAGTGAGAGGCAGCAGCCTTGATACTATCTTGAGACGAAGCTTTCCCAGCAGACGAATGGCTGTGCAAAGGCCCTGGGGTGTATGAAGCATAGTGAGGATGTCAGTGTGGCTGGAGAGGGGAGAGAAGGGGTACAGAGATAGAGGAAGCAGGCCAGTGAGGAAGGGCTGGATCAAGCAGAGGCCATGGCTTCTACTCTGAGTCTGTAAGAGCAGCACAGGGTTCTGGCCAGAGGATCAACAGGATCTGATTTACCCATTTCATTCACAGTTGGCTCTGTTGAACTCACTTCTTTAACAAGACTGGGTCACCCCAGAGGTCTGTGGCTGAGGCTTGGGTGCCCTGAGAGGCCACGGACACAGCCATGCTGGGACCTCTGGTGGCCCAGGTACCTGCTCTGCCCAGCCTTCATTTGCGGCATTTCTCATGTCCGGCCCTCCTAACGGGGTCCCTTCTCTGAGCCTCACTGCACCTTGGCATGGAGGCGGCGGCTCCCTAACTGGCTCACGAAGCATCTTTTTAAAGGTTAATGGTCACCGTCGAGGGAGGGAGGGGCACCGAACATGGATGCTCTCTTGGATGATGTGGGTTTTTCAATTAAGTGAAAATACAGAGGCCTCTCTGCAGGCACCTGATCTGACTGCCAATAAGCCGAGAAGGCCTTGTGCTTTGGAAACTGGAAGCTTCACCCTGGTGCGGCTGCCTTTGCTTTGTCCAGGCTGATCCTGGGAGAGGGGATTATGAAGAACTTTTCCCTACCCCTATATATGGATGCTCATGTGAATATGTGGCTTCTTAGAAAGCAATTGATAAACAATTGATAAATAGATGTGCATGTGAGTGAAAACCCTTCTGAATCTCAACAGACATAAAAAGCAAATTGTAGTCACACTGATCAAAGGGAATATTCAAGGAAAACTTCCTTGTCCTGAGCACACAGGCAGGTTGCTTTCTCTCTGGGGCTCAGTTTCCCCACTGTTGAAATGAAACTTGTGTCCAAAGGACTCTTTGGGAGTCAAATGCCTGTGACTCTATGATGTACATCGTGCAAATTCCTAAAGGGAAGGGGGTAACATTCTGTTACCAGGTGAGGTGGCAGCCCCTGAGTGGAAATTTGTCCTTCAGTCCCACGCTGCCTGTTTCCTACTTTACTTTGGGTACAGGGCCAGTGTGATTGGCCTCATGCCCTTACGTTGGCCCTGCTGTCAATAACAGGTGGGGCAGGTGCAGTGCAATGGCACCTGGTCACCTAGCCAGCTGAGCTGAAGTCAGTGCATGGAGAATAAGTATGCAAAAAGGAAAACCCAAAGCCAGCCCAAACCAAAGCACAACACCACCCTACACACGCTGTCTTTGTAGCTTCTGGAGCTAATGAGTAACAGCAGACACTTCTGAAACATTTATCACCTGGTCTCAGAGGGGAAGGATGGAAGCCTTTTTCTTTTTTTGTACCGAAGATCGAACTAGGGACCTTGCACTTGCAAGGCAGGCTCCAGAACCACTGAGCTAAGTCCCCAGCCCCTGGAAGTCTTTTGATTTGATTTCAAGTATACCTGAAATATCAAATTGAAAATATATTCCCTTATGATGTTTTCCCCAAAGACTAGTCAGGGTGCCCATGAAGGCTATGAGATGATTTGTGGCTACTGGAACCAGCATGAAGGACTGGGGTATCCTACTGTGGGAGACGTATTTCCGCACCAAGTTTCTTTCAGATACTCCAGCGCCCCGTGGAGAGAGTCTCAGGTGGGTGCTAGTTGACTTTAGGTTCTCCAGTGCTTACTAACTTTCCTTCAGACAGAGGGGGCTCCAGGCTCAGGTTCATCATCGTTAGGAGTCTTTGGTGAAAAAGTAATAACACTTCTTTGTTTTGGTTGTATTTGTTTTTACGGGTTTTCTTCTATTTATGGCAGACAATACTGATTTTTCATTTGCAGAGGTGGAACATCAAATTTCCTTAAGAATGTTACTTGAGTAAAGTTAACTGATTTAAGAAACATACTGATGAGGCTGGAGTACAGATGGGATGTATCTATTTAAAAAATCACTATGGAGTCATGGGAGTGTTCTTTGTAAATGCAAATAGGATCATGGCATTCTCCTGTTCAGAAAAACCCCATCAGTTTCTTCTCCCTCTAAAGCAAATCTAGACTCCTTGCCAAGGCCTAGATACAACCTGAGCCCAGGATCTGGGCCTTGCATAGCTATCAGATCTCCTCTCCTCCCTCTGTGTCGTTCCACTCTGGCCACACTGAGCATTCTCACCACAGGGCCTTTGAACTTGCTCTTTCCTCTGCTTGTATTCTTTTCTTCCAGAAATGCTGTGGTTAACCCTGAGTGCACTGTACTTTCTGCACATTTTGCACCCTCCTAGCAGCTTTCTCTGCCACCCCACCTAATTAGCACCTCCCTTGCCTTTACAGCCCCAGGGTGGGTGGGCTGTTCCCCTGCCCACCCAGATGCTAAGTGACGCTGCTGCGTGTGCCTATTTATCTGTCTAGGATCTTCTCTGGAAGGTGAGCTCTGCAGGGGCAAGGACTGCACCACCTGGTTCACTGTCCTGAGATGTGACTGTGAGGAGAAACAGCACCCCCTCCTCTCTCTAGGACCAAGGGGGCCACATGTGTTGCTTCTCCAGCACCTCTCCTGTCTTCTTCTGGCTACAGACCACCCTTCCTAAACAGGACCCAGACCTGCCCCATTCTTCCCCTTGGATCTGTGGGGAGGGAGAAAACACCCATATGTAGGCAAGCCCAGGTCCCGAGCCCCATGCTGGGGCACCACCTGTAGCTGACCCACTCGGCCAGCCTTATTCCGGGACCTAGAGCTGCTGCTTTGTTCTCTCTGACCTGGGGAGTGAAGATGAATGACAGAGACACAGAGTCAGCTTAACGTGTCTCTTAGGAGGCAGAGTCTCTAGCGTCTGGCTCATCTCACCTTTATTCACCCAAACACGGGCACAAGGAATCAAAGTAACACAAGATTCATCTGCTTTCCAATAGCCATTAGTAAGTGCTCGGGTAAACAACTTAACCTCAGGTGTCAACTTTTGCCTAGAACCTGCAATATACCATCACCCCTGATTGCAGCCCTTCTCCTTTGTGCTCACAGAGGAGACCACTTAGGCCTCAGTTCTCCTGTGGGCTCACACACCCACGTCCAAAAGGAGGAGCACAGGTCCAGGAGAAAGCCAATCAGAGCCCTACAATGCCTTGCCATGGTGATTGGCTCAGGGGTGGACACGTGGCCCTAGCCTGGCCAATCAGAGTGACTCAAGGGACTTCTGTGGGTTTTCCAGGCTCCCAGGACTCCTTTCTGTTTCTCAAAACCTCCAAACTCTGTTCTGCCTCAGGGCTTTGGCATCTATTGCTTTTGTCTAAAATACCCCTTTTCCATCTTTTCACAAAGCTGTTCCTTCTCTCCAGGTCTCATTCTTTGCATCTTCCTTACTGACTCAAGTGGCCACCTATAGCCATCTCTTTTTACCAGCTGTCCTACTTGAATTTCCTTCATAGTATGTATCGCAGTCAGAAAAAGCTCTCATATTTATTTCTTTGCTGTCTTCCACTGTAGTTCCACAAAGACAAGACTGTCCCCTGTTGCATTCCGCTGCCTGACTCACACCAGGGGTTTGTTAAGTATTTGTTGAGTAACTATCAGAAGTTAAGATAGAAATAAAATAGGGGTGGAGGTGTGTTGCATCGCTCATTACCAAGCAAATCTTCCCAGCCGCAGTGGGAGGGGACTGGAATGGGAGGGAAGGGTGATGTGCTCAGGAGTAGGGGCAGTGTTCTGAGAAATGGATGGGGCAGAGTTTTGAAAAATGACAAAACGCAGCACTGACCACTTGTCTCCTGGGTGAGTAATTAATCCTCCCAGAAAGAGAAGAACGGCCCTTTGCAGTGGGGCCCATCGATCAAGAGGCTACAGAGGGACCCTCGGCAGCCAATTAGTGGGAGCGAGCTTCCAGGCACCAGGCAGGAGATGGGATGAAGGACAGAAGGGCTGCTTCCCCTGCGTTCCTCTCCCCACCCCTCATTTGGGCCGGTGCCTGCTCAAGAGTGAAGTAGGGATGGGAACTCTGCCTGCCTGGAGGGGCTGCCGGACGTGACATGTTCTCTGGCGCTATGTGGAGGCCCAAAGACCAACATCCCATTATCCGAGGAGGCATCGATACTGGGGCCAAGGAGCTCTGACCGCTGTCCAGCAGGGCTCTCCGAGGAGGAGCAGGACACGGAGGCCTCTGGGCCGTGGGGAGGAAGGCCAGAGACCACTGCTCCCCAGGGTGCACACAGAGCCAGCCACTGACCTCGGGCATGGCCTGGCAGCCTGTAAAGGTGCAGGGGCTCGGGTGGCAGTGGGCCTGGGGCTGAGCACCGGCTGTGTGCAGGCAGAAGGCCTGGGAGCGGAACATGTAGGGGAGGGGCCCGGGCAAGGTGAAGGCGCTGGCGAGGAGGGAATGGGAAGAAGCCAGGAGCGGGGGCTGGCCTGCTGCCCTCACCTGGTGTAGCAGTGCTGGTACCTTTAGCTATGTCATGTGGGTATGAAGTGAGGTGACAGCCAGGGTCCTGGATGGGACAAAGTAAGTAGACTGGTACTAACCACTGCAGGAATAAAATCTCCCAGGAGACATCATGGTGTACTCCGTCTGCTCCTCTGGGCCAGGTGTTGGCTGTGGGCTTCTGAGAACCTGGTCCTGAGTGTGGGGCAGGACCTGGGTCTGACGTCCTTGGGGAGCAACAGATGCGCTCAGCTCTCAGCCTGTGGTGCTCACTAGGCCCCTACTCTGTCCCCTACCACCGCCCCCCACTGCTGTCCTGGGGCCGCCACTGTGGACTTGGGAGGTTCCAGGACCAAGTGGCCTCAGGCCAGGGTCCTGCTCTGTCCTTGTTCCGGGAGTGATGTCCCCACCATCAGGTGGCTGCTGACCATCAAACTCCGGTGACCATGAGGCTGAGGGTCTCAGAGCACAGACTCTGCACCTGGCCCTGGACAGGTGGAGAAGGTGCCCCTCACTGTGGGTAAATGGCACCATGGATGCACCTCAGTGCAGAGTGGGTTGGGTCGAAGGCAGGTTAGGATGCATTAGTGGGTCCTGAAATCAATGTGGAGGTTGAGCCGGCACTTAGAGCCTGCTGCAGACCAGAATAGACTCTATGAGGACATCGCAGAGAGCATCATGTGGTGATGAGCGCGGGCTGGGAAACATGTTCCGTTCCTCCATAAATAGGGGTGTAAACCTGTGTGTGTGTGGTGCATGTGCGGGGTGGGGCTGGGCTCAGTGGGAAATGGGTCTCCCTGTGGGTTGCATTAGAGACTTCTCCGGCCTGAACTTCAGACACAAGGGCATCGCCCAGGACAGAGGGTCTGAGACCCGTGGGTTGGGGATCAGATTGCAAAGCTGTAAAGAAAGAAGAGAGAGAACTGACAGGGGCCAGTGGCTGTCACTGGGGCCGGCCCACTGCAGAGTCCCTGGCCTCTCCCTGTCCCCTTCCCTGGCTCACCAGCTCCAGCCCCTCATGGTCACTTGCTCTATCTCGCATCTCCATTGCTCGTCCCCATCTGAGGTGACCTCTGTGAAGTTCAGCCCTCTGTGTCTGGTCTGCCTGCTGCTGGGACGTCCCCTTCCCGAGGGCAGGAGCTCATCTCTCCGTCCCTGCCCTGGTCCCCAGAGTAAGGACAGCGAGGCACAAAGATGAGGCTTACCTGGGGCTGAGAGGCCCGGCTCACCCTGGAGGTGGCCTGGCCATTGGTCATGAAGGTTGAGTACCGGGCTGGCCCGGGCCAGCTGTGATGGGTCTGCAGCTTGGGTGGTGAGCGCAGAGCTGCCTGTGGGGGTCACCGGGGCTCTGAACTGAGGGGAGACGCTGTGCAAACCCTGTCTCAGGTCCCCACGGCCCCTGGGCCTCACCTTGCCACGTACCTGCTGCCAGCCCCTGCTGTGGGCACCGACAGCTCCCCCAGGGACTTCCCTGCTGGGGGACAGGGCAGCCTCACAGTGTCTGAGGAGCTAGGAGTACACTCCTAGTCCCTCTCCTTGGTCTGTGCGCTGTGGCCCCTGGAGGCTGAACTCCGTCTGCTAACGTGCTGGGCAATGGATGCCTGGCGGCCTTCATCCCTCCTGTGTCCCTTCCACCCCATGGGTTTCCAGGCATCTTCTTCGGAATCAGCTACTGGCATTGGAGTCATAGTCTCTGTACTTTTAGGGGAACCAAAGTGGAGGCCAAAAACCTTGGCTGGATTTGGTCAGTTTTTATATTTTTACACATCTAATTGTTTTTTCCCCTGAACCCTAAATTTCCCTGATTTGAGACTTATTTACAAAGCTAAAAAGGGGCGCCCATCACCCAGCAGGCCTGCAGGGCGGGGTCCTCTCGTCTCACCGTCCATAGGAGGGGTCGGGGGAACTGACCTGCAGGACAGAGGTCTCAGGCTGAGAATGAGAGGGGCAGGGGGAGGCCACGGAGAGGGGAGGGGACACAGGGCTGGGTGACACAGGGGAGGCGGTGAGGTGGTACCGGGGGGCTCAGACCAGCAGCTCCCCTGCAATGCTGAGCTGAGAGCTGCCAGGCAAAAAAGCGGTGGCCATCTGTTCGGTAACCTGGAGGCTCAGGGCTCTCCTAGGGTACGGATGTGTCCAGGACCTGTTGGGCACATTTGGTTTTCATCCCATACACAAGGAGTGGCCTGGATGTGTGTGTGCAAGCTCACACACACTCACCCCACCCACAGGCGGGCAAGCCGGGCATCACTGACACGCCAGTCCACGCCTGTGCCTCCTCGTAGAGACCCCAGGGATGGCGCATAGAGCAGCCTCCAGCTCTGGGGCGACCCTGGTGGCCCCCTCACTCATCTCCAAGGCAACCAGCCCGACACCTGTGTGTCAGGTTAAAAGCCTCAGGGCCCCACGCTCTCTCATGTTAATTCATGCGGTTCAGCCGCTGGCTGCTCAACCTTTGTGCTGTCATGGGGAGTAGCGGTGCCCAGTTGTCATCTCCGTGTGTGTGTGTGTGTGTGTGTGTGTGTGTGTGTGTGTATTACACAGTCAGGAGGGGTGGGGTGAACCAGTGACAGACCCAGCCAGCGGTGACCGGCTTCCAGCCTGCTTGCTTTCCGAGTCCTTAACACAGAATCTGAGTCCCAGAGATGAGGCCCCTGGGTGTGGGGGAGGAGAAGGCGCAGGCTTGGGAATCTGGGGAGCCCCACCCAGCTCCTTCCTGGTGCAATGGGGGCCTCCGGCCAGGCGGGGGTGCTTGAGGGAATCCAAACCCGTCCCCAAGGGGCTCCGTCCATGGCCGTGAGCAGGACACAGAAACCCAGGCCCTGGGTCAGGGTCCGGGCTCTGCCTCCTTTGCCCTCTGCTGTGGAGCACAGTGCCCTGGAGAGGTGGAGGCAGAAGAAGGGTCAGGTGCGGCTCCTGTCTGCAGCAGGAAGTCCGCCCACTGCCCAGAGGGGCCCTGCAGGCGGCAGTGTGAGGGGGCCGGGCCCAGCCAGGCCGGCCAGCACTTGGGAGCCAGCGCCGCCCGCCTGCCACCGAGGAGCAGGCTCCGCATCCTCCAGGGCCCCAGCCCTGGGCGGTGGCCTTGGTCCCGACTCTGTTCACGGCCGGGAAGCAGCCCAGGCAGGGGAAGGGACTTGCCCTTGGTCACCCAGCTGGCAAGCGGCGTGGGGGCAGCATGGCAGGGGCATCCGGGCCACGGACCCTGGGCTGCGGGTTGGGGCCATGGGGAGAGTGGAGCCGGCGGCAAACTGGAGAGAACGGGCGGCTCGAGGGGCACCAGACTCCGCTCCCTGCTCGCGACTCCCGGACGAGGTGGCCCAGGGTCCCTGAGCTGAGACCCCAGGAAGCCGAGATGTCCCGCCCTCCGGGGAGAGCTCTGGCTTACGTGGGGACACTGCGTTCAGTTT